CATGGTGCACAAGCCTCCGAACGCCTTCGTTTCCGAGAAATGCTTCAGTTTCGTCAGCGATTTATTATGCTTCTTGCGCTGTTGCGGCCTGAGTGTCTTCGCCACGTTGCAAGTCGGGCAGTGCGGGTTCTTTGGCAGGTGCGTCATGAGGTGTTTACGGGACTGCGCCCCCTTCTTGAGCCGCTCAATCTTACTCGGCTCGCCTCCTGACTCCTGCGTCGGGTCATCGGCGCCATCATCGTCGACCAGATCGATAGCGCCCAGTGCCTCCGCGCGTTGCTCCGCCGCCCCCTCTGCAGGTGCAGGGGCGGCTTGTCTCCCACATCCAACGGCATGGCCGAGGCATGTAGGAGCCGGTGGCATTTCGTCGGCAATCCCAATAGGGCCAGGCTCCCAGCCCCCCCGGCTCGCCATCAGAGGCCCATAGTAGAAATAGGCAATGGCGCCCCTGCCGTCGAGGTCGGCTCAACGAGGCGCGCCTCCGCAGCAGTGATCCGAACGGTCCTCCAGGACTCCGTCCACATATGAATATTCCGCCTGATGGATGCGAACACGTTGTGCCAACCACATTACCAACGTCCACCCCATAGGCGCTGAGCGAACACGAGGCCTCACCTCCGAGAGCACGCGCAACGCCCCGCCCAAACTGGCGGGCACGCCCTACTCTAGGAGGAGGGGGCCGGGCACGGGCGGCGGCACAAGGAACGTCCGCAGCTCGGCAGGCATAGCCAACCAGAAGAAGCAGTCTGCGACGTCGGAGCCGGCACCCCACATGCCGCGCCCCTGCAACTCAGGCGGAATCTGGAGGCCGGCGAACGCGGAGCCGCTCGCCATGCGGATCTTGGGCGGACTGCGCCATCGCACGTTGGCAACACGGTAGCCCCACGCCAGCCGCTGCTGCCCTGATTTCTTGCGCGCGACGAAGGGATGCACGGTCTGTCGCCCCCGCCCCAAAATCCACGAGGTTGGACTCGAACAGGTCGCGGCCGAACTGGTAGTACGACCGATCCCGTTGGAGCCTCACGTCCACGCGGGGCTCAATATATGATGCCTGCTGGTTCGTGGTGGCTCCCATCTCGACCGGCGAGCGGAGCATCGCGGCGGTGTGTCCGTCGATTACGCCTCTGCCAGAATCATCCAGACCTCCATCACTGAGGCTCCATCGAGACCCGGCCTCGATCACGCGGCTCCACGCGGCAACTGGAGCCCCCACCAGCATACGAGAACTCCATTCCGCAAGGCGCCCTGAGGGCTACACGGACTTCGCACAAAGATGGACAAAAAGGCCCTGCCGCCAACGTAGACAACATTTGACCATGGGCCGCGCGGCGCGCACCCGACGGTCGGGAAGATGAGACGGCAGACGGGGAGGACAAGTCATTGAGCGTGTCGATGACCCCATTGGCGAGCAGCTGTCTCGGACGCCTCCTCGACACACGCTTGAACACGGTCGAGGACAGGCACGGGCCAGGGCGCTCATCCAAGTCAACAGCTGGCAGTGGAAATAGGTCACGCTGGCGACTGTCTTCCACATGCCTCTCAAAACCTGCCGAGGTGGGGCCCTTGGATAAGGCAGCGCGGGAGGACCAAGTCCGCGCGCCAGGAGGCAGCGGAGTCATTCGCCCCCCCGCCCCGTCGGCCGGGGCGAGCCCTCCTTTTCCACCTCGGCCTCTGCCGCCTCGGCCTCCCCCCTTGCTCTGCTTGGTGCGCCGCTCCACGGCAGCTCTCCGAGACTCCTTGAGGATGGCAGGCTCGCCCCTGAACTGCGTAGCCACCTGCGCCGCCAAATCAGGCGCCACGGAGGCGGGGGCCGCGGCGGGCCCCCACCCCATGGAGTGGTCGGCCCCCGAGAAGTCGGGAGCAGAGGCCGACTGAGCGCAGGCTGACTTGATGAGTTGGAGCCTCCTGATGACAAGCTCCATGCATTTCAGCGCCGGCACGTTGAGCTGATCGCGGCAGACCGCGGCAGCGAGCACCTGCGACAGGACGCAGTGCTCGTGGATGGCCCGATCCCCCTCGCGCAGCCTGGCCTTACGAAGCCAGACCTCGCGCGCCGCTTGGGGGGTCGGGCCGTTCGCCGCGATGCGCCTACAGAACCAGGCGGCCGCTCGCGGGCCCTGGGCCCTGCAGGTCGAGACCGCCAGCGGGCAGGGCGTCATCCTGCCTCTGCACGCCTTTACCGAAGCCGACGCGCCTCGACCCGCCCGCATTGAACAGCACAGGCTGAATCCGAAGATCATCGTATGCGAAACGATACACCTCAGGGCGCGTGAGCTGCCTCAGGATGACGTAGCCGCCCTTCCACGGCATGATGGCACGATCTCCAGCTGAGATGGTGTCGGCCGTCAGCTCCATCTCCGTGCCCTTCAGCAGCTCCTCGGCGTCCTCCGCCGCGACCCAGACAAAGTCCGCCCGCGGAGCAGGGGCGGCAAGGCCCGCCGCCTGGGCCCCCTGGCCGGGACGCTGGGGGTCGGCGGGCCCCTGTGGCGGCGGAGTTCCAGCACGACGAACGATATTTTCACCCCCCACACGTCGTACCCGAAGACCGTCCGCGGGGGCTGGCAGGCCCAGCGCCAAGGCCGCATCGATGAAGTGCTGGCGCAGCCCCTCGATGGCAGGGGGCCCCCTGCAGGGGGATCCCCATCGGGCGCGAGCATGAAGTAATTGCCTGCATCGGTGGGGTGAACCGCCAGCACAATCCTCTCATGCCAGAGGTCCGCCCCAGGTACATTGTACTTGAGAAGGAGCAACGCAAGCGGCTCTCGCCATGGCGACGCGCGTGGATCAAGGCCAACTGCTTCTGGGCAAGATCCTGCAAGTCGTGATTATGGGCGGGCGTCACCGCCGCCGAAGTCTCCTGATCGGCTCGAGCAGCACGTCGCCTCGCACACAACCAGGTCGGCACCGCGAGGAGAGCCCCGCAGACCCAGCCCGCTACGAAGATGCCGATCACCGCGAGGCCGTACGCCAGATATCCAATGACCCCAGGGCCGCTCGATACACACTCCACGTGGACAGGCGGGATCCGCACCTCAAGGCAATGCAGCTCCACCTGCGCTGCCGGCGGGCGCCGGACAGGAAAGATTCACCACCGTGTCGTGCCTCGCGCAGATAGCAGCCGACACAGCAAACTGTAGGGAGAGGTCTAGAAGTTTGGGCAGCCAGCCGTGAAGGTGCTCCGACATGCAGGGAGAAAAAGACTGAGCAAAAAAGGGCTAAGCGACAGAAACTTGCAGGCGCACTCAACTGGGAGCAACCTCTGGAGATCATCAGCATCATCATCAGCATCATCTTAATCATCATCATTATCATCACTATCATTATCATTATCACTATCACTATCACTATCATCATCATCATCATCATCATCATCATCATCATCATCATCATCATCATCATCATCATCATCATCATCATCATCATCATCATCATCATCATCATCAGCATCAGCATCATCATCATCATCATCAGCATCATCATCATCATCAGCATCATCATCGCATCATCATCATCATCAGCAGCATCATCAGCATCAGCATCATCATCATCAGCATCATCATCATCATCATCATCATCATCATCATCATCATCCTCAGCATCAGCATCATCATCCTCATCATCAGCATCATCGTCAGCAAAATCATCATCAGTATCATCATCATCATCATCAACATCATCATCATCATCCTCATCATCATCAGTATCATCAGCATCAGCAGCATCAGCATCATCATCAGTATCAGTATCAGTATCATCAGCATCCTCATCATCATCATCATCATCATCATCATCATCATCATCATCATCATCATCATCATCATCGTGATCATCATCATCAGCATCATCATCATCATCATCAGCATCATCATCAGCATCATCATCAGCATCATCATCAGCATCCTCATCATCAGCATCATCATCATCAGCATCAGCATCAGCATCATCAACATCATCAGCATGATCGTCAGCAGCATCAGAAGCACCATCATCATCAGCAGCAGCATCAGCATCATCATCATCATCATCATCATGAAAATCATCTTCATCATCATCAGCAGCATCATCAGCAGCATCATCATCATCATCAGCAGCAGCAGCATCAGCATCAGCATCATCGTCCTCATCATCATCAGCATCATCATCAGCATCAGCATCTGCATCTGCGTCCTCATCATCCTCATCATCATCATCATCAGCATCATCATCAGCATCATCAGCATCAGCATCATCATCATCATCATCATCATCAGCATCATCATCATCAGCATCAGCATCAGCATCAACATCAGCATCAGCATCAGCATCAGCATCAGCATCAGCATCATCATCAGCATCGTCATCAGCATCATCATCAGCAGTATCAGCATCAGCATCATCATCATCAGCATAATCATCAGCATCATCATCAGCATCATCATCAGCATCATCATCATCAGCATCAGCATCAGCATCAGCAGCATCATCCTCATCAGTCTCATCATCAGCATCAGCATCATCATCATCCTCATCAGCATCATCATCGTCATCGTCATCTTCATCATCATCAGAAGCAGCATCATCCTCGTCATCGTCATCATCATCATCAGCATCATCATCAGCATCAGCATCATCATCATCATCATCATTATCATCATCAGCATCAGCATCAGTATCAGCATCATCATCCTCATCATCAGCATCATCATCAGCATCATCATCAGCATCAGAATCAGCATCATCATCCTCATCAGCATCATCAGCAGCATCATCAGCATCTGCATCTGCATCATCATCATCATCATCATCATCATCATCATCATCATCATCATCAGCATCATCATCAGCATCATCATCAGCATCAGCATTATCATCCTCAGCATCATCAGCATCATCATCAGCATCAGCATCAGCATCAGCCTCCTCCTCCTCCTCCTCCTCCTCCTGCTCCTCCTCCTCCTCCTTCTCGCACACTCTCGCCATCGGTCCCGCGCGTCGGCCCCGCTGCGTGGGCGCAGGGGCTCCTCCGTGCGGCGTGGACTCGGCGGGGCGGTCCGTGTCGCAGGCGACGCACCTCCCGGACGGAGAGCGGGGCGGGCAGGGGGCGGGAGGGGGGAGGGCCAGGGAGGGGCGGGGAGGCGAGGCGTGTACACGCGGGGAGGGCGGACCCGAGGAGGGCGGCAGGGGAAGGCACAGGAAGAGCGGGGAGAGGAGGGATCTGTGTCCCTCTCTCTCTCTCTCTGTCTTTCTCTCTCTCTCTCTCTCTTTCTCTCTCTCTCTCTCTCTCTCTCCTTCTATCGCTCCTTCTCTCTCTCTCTCTCTCTCTCTCTCTCTCTCTCTATGTCTATATATATTGTACACATGTACACAAGACTGCACTGGCGCTAGGCGACATGCACCTTAGTCTTGGAAGTTCGCCATGCAGACAAAGGGCAGGCAGGTAAACTCAGAACCTATCGACAACTCATTATTGTCTTTTCCAGCCCTGTTGGGCCGCTTTGGGGCTCCCTCGAACTGCCTGGAGTCACCAGCCTCGAGCTTATCCCTGTCCCTGAGATTGACACGCTAGAAGGCGATGACAATCTCAGGGATGCGCCCTCAAAAACTAAAGGAATCCCTGAGATTGGCCTCGTAATCAGGGGACCACGTGCGAACCCTGCCCCTACCCCCTCAGACATCGAAGGGGGTAGGGGTAGGGTTCGCACGTGGCCCCCTAGTGATGAGGCGATGCCCAGCTCAGGGACAGGGATGTGGGCCCTCTCGGGAAGCTCCGGGGCGGAGCTCGGGCCTCCCGGGCGGCCTCGGCCGGCCGGGAGGCCGAGGAGCAGAGCACTCCCGGAATCGTGCGGAGGCCCATGGGAAGTCCAGCCCTTGAGGGGGCCCTGGGGCACACAGATAAGTGCACACAAATAGCAGGATTCCCCATATCGTCCCATGTTTTCTGGGTTTGCGTCTTCCCCCCCGCTTCCCGTATCTTCCCATATCTGCTGCAGAATCGACGATTCATTGTCCGTGTGTGTTTTTTCCCCTCCTGATCTTTGCTCCGTCTCAAACGCTTCTTGGGCGTCTTCTCTGGGTCGCCTTCGGGCGTCTGGTGGGTGCCCGGGGCCTCTTAGGGGGCCCTCGCGGCGCCAGGCCGCCGCCCTCGTGACCGACTTGGGCCCCACAAATGCGGGGGTCTCGGGTTGGGGGGGAGGGGGGATTCCCCACCCCCCAGGACTGTAGAATATATACGGTAGGTCTGCGCGGCGTCGACGCGCGCAAAGGTTTTTGACACCGCGTCGATCGTTCAACCCTGAATCGATCGCGGCCCAGATCGTTCAAAATTGAATTCCGTCGGGTCCAACGGCGTTACAGTGTCCCTCGGTGCTTCCGCGTCGTTCTATCATGAGGCGTTCAAACTTGAACGCCTTCGCCGACGTCACAGGCGCGCCATCGCCGCACGAACCTACCGTAAAGAGAGGGAATATTTATCTCTCTCTCTCTCTCTTTCCACGCTGATGGCACAGCGGCAGGGGGGCCCCCTAACGCGACCCGTGGGCTCAGAGCTCCCCTGGTCATCGGCGACAGCCGAACGTCTACTGCACACTGCACACTATGGTACCAGGGGACAAGGGAGACGACATAGACATATAGTGGGATGTTGTCCACAAGACAGTTTTGGTTGACGTTATGGCTGGCGCCTCAAGCTAAGCGGAGCGGAGATCGAATGTAAACAACCGAGGTGCGACAGGACCCATCACTGGAGCTATCAAGAAGCAACCCTGAGATGCCTCTCAAAACGGCCATGGACAATTCGCCGGCCCAACGGGCCAAGGGCGTGCTAAGATCTCCGGTAACTGGTTAACAGTATTCTGGTTCGCGCGCGCGGGGCCGCCCCTGGGGGTCCCCAGACGAGAAGTACCCCGGGAGACCCCCGGGACACCCCGGGGACACTCGGATCAGAGATGCTAGACCGGGCAATTTTTCGACACCCCTCACGAGGATCGTGGCCTCCGAGGGGAGGGGCGCAATCGACTACCCCCCCTCCTGACCCAAGAGGTCCCGAAGAGCCCCCCAAGAGGCTGCAGGGACCCATAGGCCGCCGACAAGGAACCCCAAGAGGCTCCCAAGAGGCCCAAGAGGCCCCCAGGAGGCCCCCAGGAGGCCCCAAGAGGCCCCAAGGGGCCCCCAAGAGGCACCCCAAGAAGCCCCAAGAGGCCCCAACACGGCCCCCAAGAGGCCTCAAAACTGCCTCCCAAAGGCCCCTGAGAGGCCACCCACGAGAGCCCAACCAACATCCGTGAGGCATCTGACCCGCCACCCACCGCCTCCGAAAAATGGCAGCCGCCCAACCACACCGCATTAACAACAACACCCCGACAAACGACAGCGGCGAGGCAATATGGGCCGGCGGAATGAGCGAAGCGAATAAATAGTGTTCAAATGTCGCGCTCAGATTCAATTGCTCAGTTCTCGCTCTTGAGAAATTGAGCGCGGTAATAACACGAAGCCTGGATGAGAATGGAAAAACATAGTGTAGCGGGAACGGCAAACAAACGGCATCTGATAACAGCAGCTCCAGAAGGGGCAGGAACGGACCAGCTCTAAGAAGGCTGAGAAAACGCATTGGAAACGCATTGACAACGGCAAGGACACGGGGCGGGCGGGCGACAGGGCATGCGGATACTTGAAAACTGACTAACACGTACGTAGCGGGAGCGGCTGCGACAACTGAAACGAAACAGTGTGTGAGCTTCAGCAAACGAAAGTACACCTAAACCTGAAGTGGAAACAGAGCGTGCAAGCTCAGAATGGATGTAACAACAAACAAACAATAAAAGCACGTGTCCTGGCCGTTCTGAAAGAATGTGAGATGCACCCCTTGGAAACGAAGTCGAAATCAACAGACTTAACTTCGACTCGACTGCAGACTTGAGAAGTCGAAGACGTCGAAGTGTCGATCCCACAATGATGCATAGCTGAGGGCTTGTCAGCATTAAACCTGATTGCTCAGAAAAAATGAGCCCAAGCCTAAGCCCCAAGGACCGCCAAGCTCGTGAACGGGCTTGGTGTTGATCGCATCTTGAATCGGTAATGAAAGTAGCAACTAGGCGTCTACGATCGATTGCAACAGTTTGCAACCAGAACATCGCAAGTTGTTTGGGCTGACGCCGACCAGCTTTGCACAAATGCGTGAGAACTTTCAGGTACATGCAAATGATTAAGTATGCTGTGCAGAAGTGTGGCCCCGCGCATTCGCAGCGGCAGCACTCTGCAAGCCACACCCTGTGCAAGCCCGCACGATTGCTGATCCCTGAGATTACGCAGGCTGCGCCGTGCGTGGTGTGCCGAATCGGCGGGGTCCCAGAGGCCAGGGATTCCCGTGGAAGCGCGCCGCCTCCCGCCACCCTGCTCCATCCTCCCTCATCTTCCCCTCCTCTGCGAAACCTCCTCGCCACCTCTCTTTCCACTATCCCCCCTCGCTCCCTCGTCTGCCCTCCCCCACCCCTCGTCCGCCCTTTTTGGGCGTCGCGGCCCTGCGCGCGGCGACAGGGCGCAGGAGGTTGGAAAACAGTGAGGCCCGCGCGCTGGCGCCCGGCCGAGCCCTCCGAGACCACTCAGGGCCTCGCAGCCCTCAGCAGCCATAACCATCCTTTGGTCTGGCATGTCCTCCTACAGGCGGATTTGGAAGGAAAAATATAAGACACTCAAAAGAAGCAGAATAATCAAAAACTGCTGAAAAAAAAAACATCCCCTGACTATTTTTCATATTTTTGAAGATTCCTCTTGTAGAGGGACATGCCCGACTCAAAACCATCCGGGAATCCCCCATTCCACCCTCTCCCTCCTGCATCTCTTCGTCGCCGCACCCCCCCTTCGCAGAGCCTCGAAGCCCCAGGCTCGTTCACGAGGGTGCACACGGGGCACTGCCACTCACCGC